GTTAAAGTAGTTTCAGTTGGAAAAAAAATGTTCTGTTTGCTATTCTGTCTTTTTAAAATTCTCTCTGCCTGACTTTTTAATCTCTTCTCGAACTTTTCACTCTTATTCTATCCACACTGATGTCTATTTCTCTTCCTCTTCCTCTCATCTCTATTTTAATAGTTCATTATATAACACATTATATTTTTATCTCTTCTATGTCTTATATGCAGCTTTCTTTAATCTATCATGGATGATGAGTGGGCTGGAGCGACAGCACAGTGGTAGGGTGTTTGCCTTGCAAGCCGCCGGCCGGCTGAGCCGGGTTTGATTCCTCTGCTCTCTCGGAGAGCCCAGCCAGCTACTGAGAGTATCTCGCCCACACAGCAAAGTCTGGCAAGGTACCCATGGAGTATTCAATATGCCAAGCACAGTAACAACAAGTCTCACAATGGAGACGTTACTGGGCCCGCTTGAGAAAATTGATGAACAACGGGAGGACATACAGTGCTATAGATGATGAGCATAAGAGAGAAAACTGAAAGTTACTTATAAAAAATTACATATTTTATAAAAGTTAAGCAGAAATTAATATAAGAATTCCTCGGAGGCCAGTGTTCTTTACAATTCCACAGTAATGTTTCATCTACATATGAGACATAATGTATCTTATTAGCTTATGAGTATATATTTGTTCTAGTAACTTTACAAGAACTGTAGAAAAAGTTGACACTAAAATATTTTCATAACAATCACAGTCACGGTCACGGTCCTCCCGTTGTTTATCGATTTGCTCGAGCGGGCCCAGTAATGTCTCCATTGTGACACTTGTTACTGTGTTTGGCATATCGAGTACGTCACGGGGAGCTTGCCAGGCTCTGCCATGCAGGCGAGATACTCTCGGTAGCTTGCCGGGCTCTCCGAGAGGGGCAGAGGAATCGAACTCGGGTCAGCCATGTTGGCTGCATGCAAGGCAAACGCCCTACCGCTGTAGCAAAAATATCATCCAATAAAATTCATAAAATACTTAAATTGTCTCTTAAACTATTCAATTTGATATAATTGTGTTAAAATTTTGATAGCAAAAAATAATATATTTTTATTTTAAAACCAAACCACAATTTCTTTCAGTGGTAGACGTAGAATTTTCCTACTTTTTGAAAAATCTTGAGTCAATTGCTTTTAAAACAGTTAAATTATTGGAGGCCTGCCTCGTGAGCAGAGGGGAAAAGGCAGCTGGAATAGAGAAGGGATCACTAAGAAAATGATGGCTGAAGGAACCGGTCAGGATGGGAGATGTGTGCAGAAAGTAGATAACGGACCAAACATGATAACCGCTCGGTATTTGTATAGAAAATCATGATGCCCCAAAGTAGAGAGAGAGTATGGGGAATATTGTCTGCCATTGAGGCAGGGGGAGAGTGGGAAAGGGGGTATACTGGGGAGATTGGTAGTGGGGAATGTGCACTGGTAGAGGGATGGGTGTTCGATCATTGTGTGATTGTAACTCAAACATGAAGGCTTGTAACTATATCTCAAGGTGATTCAATAATAAAAAAAATTTAACAACAACAGCAATAAAAAATAGTCAAATTTTCTTATAAGATCTTTGAAGGAAACATTTAAGGAAACTACTTCACTACTAGGGCTGGAGCAATAGCACAGCAGGTAGGGCGTTTGCCTTGCACACAGCTGACTTGGCCGACCTGGGTTCAATTCCTCCGCCCCTCTCAGAGAGCCTGGCAACTATCGAGAGTATCTCGCCTGCACCGCAAAGACTGTCAAGCTACCCTTGACATATTTGGTATGCCAAACACAGTAACAGCAAATCTCACAATGGAGACGTTACTGGGCCCACTTGAGCAAATTGATGAACAATGGGAAAACAGTGCTACAGTGCAGTATACTTTACTAAAAGAGGAAGCCTCAGTTGACCCTTGCTAGCTGCTAGGAGAAATCCCACTTTTGGCTGGCCCATCCTACATTTTTCACTTCTTGCAAATTCCTAGACTTTTTCTGATAAACAGGAGTTAATGATTGTTCATCATAAAATTCTACCCCAGAGCCTAGGCTCACAAGGAGACTAAGATAATAGACAGTACCTGAGACAGATGTCCAGAAAGACTCAAACCAGCCCCACCACCCTGTAGATTCCCTGCATTCTCTGTCACACAGACCTGGTTTTCCTAAAAATCTCATCAAAAGAGCCATAGGTCCTATATTAGTTCCTCCCCACTCGAGAAGCTCCTTTTCTTTTCTCCTCTACTTTCCAATAAATATTTCTGCTTTCCAACTCTGGGCAGGAGCGATAGCACAGCAGGTAAGGCCTTTTGCTTTGCATGCGGCTGACTGAGGTTCGATTCCTCCCTCCCTCTCAGAGAGCCCAGCAAGCTACCTAGAGTATCCCACCTGCACAGCAGAGCCTGGCAAGCTCCCTGTAGCTTATTCTATATGCCAAAAACAGTCTTGTGGGGGTAAGGGTAAGGTAAAGGCCCTCCTGTTGATCATCGATTTGCTCGAACGGGCCCAGTAACATCTCCATTGGAGACTTTGTTGTTACTGTGTCTGGCATATTGAATACGTCACGGGGAGCTTGCCAGGCTCTGCCGTGCAGGCGAGATACTCTCGGTAGCTTGCCGGGCTCTCCGAGAGGGGCGGAGGAATCGAACTCGGGTCAGCCGTGTTGGCTGCGTGCAAAGCAAACGCCCTACCACTGTGCTATCGCTCCAGCTCCTTGTGGGGGTATTTCCTTAAATTTATTTTGTTTACCTCATGTGCTATTTCCTGGAAGTTCAAGAAAATACTTTCAAAGTAGGGTCAGTGTCGGCACTAGAGTACTGAAATGAAAATGTTCCCATCCTCATAAATCAGTTATTATTCCAATTTGACTGTTGTATGTATAATTTACTGAACAGAGTAAACAACAGATAATTAAAAAGTCATGTGATCTGCTTGTCAGAGCAGGAAAAGGTAAGATGCTAATTTTGCAGTTAGGTAAAAATAGTGCTGTAGGAGCCTCTGAGAAGAAGTAATAATGAATTTAATGAAGGATACTCGAAATGCTCTTTAATAGTTCGGTTTATATGAGCAGAGCAGGCAAGAGACACACACTGGGAGGGCCAAGAGACTCCCAGCCACCTAAGAGTAAGCACGAAGGAGGACACGTCTCACACCCTGAGTCTGGGCAAAGTTGCAGTAAGAGAAATCAGCAAAGGCACTGAGCAGAGTTCCTGAAGCTTAGAGCTTATTTTTGGTTTCTTCAGGAGTTACGACAATACTTTGGCTGGGAAGTGTAACATGGCATTTGAGTATGGAATGCTTAAAGGTGGAGCTCTTTCAAGTGTGGGAACAAGAAGCTAAGTCTAGAAATTAAGCTAAACCAAGTCTGGAAGCTAAGGTTCCAGAGATTCCTTTGTAACAGCACAGAGTTGAGTCTAAAGTGGTAGCAGTGAAACTTGAAGGAAGAATTAGGTTACCTGAGACCTTAAAAGGATAAATAACAAGACCTTGCTGGGTGATTCAGTGCTGGAGTAGAGAAAAAGAGGCCACACTTGTTTTCCCTCTTTCTCTTAGACCTTTACTGTTTGGGCTTTTGATGGCCAAAATCACATAACTTTTTTGTGGGAGACTGTCAAATCTCTAGAAAGTTCAGCTGTGCGCAGAACAATTCTGTTCCTGCAATACAGCCCAGAAACCTGAGATTCTCACAGCTAAACAATGGTCGCCCATTGAAGTGTTGCTTCTGACCATTTTTTCCCATGTGAACTGGATAGCTGAAAAATATGCCTCTTACTGAAAGGAGACAGATAATAGAGCCTGCAAATTCTTTACACTCAAAGTCCAGGGCTTTATCCACTAGGTTAAACCAACCCACGAAAAATTTTAAAACAGAAGTAATATCCAGATGAGAAAACAAATTTATGTCTTCAAATAATTTTTGAGGGTTCACAAATGATAACAGTCAAGGAACCATGTGACCTGGAACTCCTGCAAAGGAACATATGCAGTCCAGCTCTTTAAATCATCTCCCCAGTCCTCAATTTATAAAAGTTATAGTGTATTTTAAATTATCATTCATTAAAATAGCAATTGCCCTAAGAACAACAGTTGTGTAACTAATAACCCAGTTACCAACAAAGAATGCTATTATATTTTTAGGCACTGCAAAATATATTTTATAAAGGTCTCACATTCCCTTTGGAAATAAAAATAATAGTTTAGTCTCCCTGAAATCTGATGCAGATGGAATCTCCTTTCCCTTCAGCAATGGTAGTCTTTGTTCTGTTGACTTATAATGTCTCAGGAGGAGAAAAATCAAAACTGTCTCATGAAAGCAAATTGGAAATGTTTGGATGTATGGACATTTAATGAGTAAGAGAAAGTGCCAAGAAATAGTTTGTGTCTTCCTACCAAATTCAAAAGAACAGTCCTCCGAGCCCAGCTAGTGTACTCACAGCAGATTACATGAATAGCACTGATTAGTATGACGCTACTGCACAAACAGTCTGTTGCTAAACATTACAGAAATATTGTTTACATCAAAATGGAACAATCTCTTGTGAATACTGGAAGAAATAATATCCATAATCAGAAAAAGCATTTTAATGACATTTTGCTTCACTTTCAATAGAAACTTGGATCGCTTAACAGTTTCTTATCACTGATTTTCTGGCTTTATAACATTCTTAATTCTGCAGCTTTCAAAATTCACTAAATAAAATGATGGGTCTCTTTTGTTTTGTCTATTTCCCTGATGCCTGGGTAGAAAACACCCACCGTAAGTGGTTCGTGGGAGCCCACTTGGCAATGCTCATGATTATTTTCCCTGTTCCTTTTCATGAAAGCCCAATTGGCTATAACTCCCAGTAAAATCTCTGAAAGTATAATCAGAGCAAGTGTCATTAACAGCCACTGTCAACTCTGCACTTTTCTATCTTAATAGACCCTTTCACTTTATAGCATTTTATGAAGAACAAAGCAATGAACAGCTCCTCTGAGATGAGAGAAATGCAGACACTTACCTGCATGACAATAAGGAGGTCAAACACCAAAATAAAAGAAGCCAGGAATGCTCTGGAAACTTCATCACTGGGCAAAAATCCCCTGTTGAGATGGTCCCAGCTGATCCAGTCCGTTGTGATGATAGTTACAACCACTGAAGTCAGAGTGAAAAGAACTGTCCTGGAAGAAACAAGGAATCATTGAGAAACATTAGATGCAGGAGTGCATGCTATGTGTGTTGTATCAAATGTTTGCCTGTTGCTAAAAGTTACCCTAGGCCAATTCACCCAAAAGAAGGGCTGGTGATAAATTAAGTGATTTTTTCAAAGCAATTAAAAATATGTATGAGAGCATTTTTAAATTTTTCCTAAATATTATTCAAATAATTATTACATAACTAACGATTGACAAAAAATTATGAATGTGCTTGGGCAGTATAGCATATATTACAAAAAGAATGCTAGGGTGTAACTGTCATTAAGGTACACTGTTTCACGGAGGGCAGTAGAAAGAACATATGTAAATGATGAAGTTCTCTGTTCTACTTTTGCCCTAGAGAGTTGTTTAATTAAGTTAACCTACATTGTCCTCTGAAGTCTAATCAGTTTCAAAGAATAGCATCTCTAAATACCAAAAATGTAGCCTTTTCTTCTAGTAGAGATGCCTTGTGATTGGTTGAGAAATTGACTAGATCACACCATAACAGTTGGACCATTTTTTTGTTATGATACAAGGAACTAAGATTTTCTCATATGCCTTTATATCTTCACAAATCCTTGAATGATTATATGCATATGGGAATCAAAGAATGCTTTTTAGAGTTGTAACAATTATCAATTAATTTTTTTGTTCAACTAAAAAATACCTACTGTTTCCTCAAATATAATAACTGAATCACAAAAAAGAACAATAAAAGTCATACTAGAATTGTCATTTCAGTTCAAATAAAGATTTTTAAACCAAAAGTTTGGTTTTCCTTTTAACAAATTAATTTTTTAAAAGTTAAAAATATGAATAAATACTTTTAAAAGAAAAGTAGTTTGGAAGTAGGCACATAAAAATTTCTCAACATCACTTATCAAAGAAATTAAAATTAAGATGACAATGAGATACCATCTCACACATATGGCATATGTCAAATGGTATATGTCAAAATAGTAGAAACAATCTGTGTTGTCAGAGATGTGGTGAAAAAGGAACTCTCATTCACTGATGGTAGGAATGTTGTTTGTTCCAACCCCCGTGGAAAACATTAGAGAGAGCTCTCTGTAACTTAGAATTAGCTGCCAAATGACCCAGAAATTTCACTTTTGGACATCTACCTCCAGGACATAAAACACTCTCTCAAAAAGGACATAAGCACAGTATTGTTTATTGTTGTGCTCAGTTCAATAGCTAAGATATGTAACAACCTAGGTGTCCAATGACAGATGAATGGATTATGAAGATGTGATATATATATGTATATATATATATATATTATGCAGCTGCAAGGAATGGTGAAATCATGAAATGTCCTGCAACATGGCTGCAACTGGAAGAGATCATGTTTAGTAAAGTAAGCCAGAAGAAAGACAAACAGGTTGATCTCACTTATCTGTGGTATACAGAATACTGGATGGGGAAATGTACTTTAGTAAAAGGGGGGGTGGCTAGATCACTCTTGACCAGTGTTCAGAGTGGAGAAGGACAGAGAAAGAAAGAAATCTAAAGGGGAAAAGGAAGACTCAAAAAGAAGTAATGGGTGACAAGCATCAGAGCTTCAGTTCTACTGATATCAATAAGTGGTATAGCCATATATCCAAAACACAAGCTCAACAAAATTGAAAACATGAAATCTAAGTTGCAACCACTGAAAGTTTGTAATGTGTCTATCAAGTTGACAGAGGGGATGGGGTGAAGTTTGGGATGGGGAGGGAATATGGAAACACCAGTGGAGTGAAGTTGATCCTGGTAGCAGGATTGGTGCTGAAATATATGCCTAAACCATTACTATAATACCTTTGTAAATCACAGTTCTTTAATATAAGAATGAGAAAATATGTTTTACTCGAAGTACTTAGTAGAATGGTATCTTTAAGTTTTTCTTTTTTAAAAACATCCATGAATAGAAAAAGTATCACTTCACTTAATCACTTAATCCCCGTTATTCATCGATTTATTCGAGCGGGTGCCAGTAACGTCTCCATTCATCCCGGTTGCGTGCTAGCGTAGCCCAATGGTATCTGTTTGTTCTAGGAACATGCAGAGCCTCAAACCGATCATTTAGGTTCTTGACGAAGAAGTCTGACCATCTTATAGGTGGGCGTCCACGTGATCTTTTGATGTCCCGTGGAATCCAATCAGTAATGGCTCTAGTCCAGCGGTTGTCTGTAAACCTCATTACGTGTCCAGCCCATCTGATTTTTGATATCTTGGCAAATGAGACAGCGTCCCTGATTCTTGAGCGTTGACGAAGGTCAGAACTCCGGATTCTATCTCTCTTTTGAGTGAATCGTGATATTCCAAGCATAGTTCTTTCGATTCCTCTTTGAGAGACCTGAATAGTGTTCTCATCCTGTTTTCGTAGGGTCCAGGTCTCTGAGGCATATGTTAATGCAGGAAGAATAGTGGAATCAAAGAGATGTGCTCGTAGCTGGAGGTTCTTTGTCCTTTTAGTTATTTCTTCAATGCTCTTGAAGGCATTCCAAGCCTCACTCTTCCTCCTGCGCAACTCAGGTGTCAGGTCATTCATCATGTTGATTTCTCGACCTAGGTATATATAACTGTTGCATTCGGAGATGGTGGTTCCGTTGAGAGCAAATGGAGCGTCAAGGCTGTTTCTCATAAACATTGTCTTCATAAGATTCAGCTGTAGACCGACCTTTCCACATTCACGGTCAAAGTCGTTCAGCATTTGTGCAACTTGGCTGATGTTTGGTGTTATTAGAATGATGTCATCAGCAAAGCAGAGGTGGTGTAGTTGCCGACCATCTATCTTCACTCCCATGTTTTCCCATTCCAGTCGTCGCATGATGTTCTCGAGGGTGGCACTGAAGAGTTTTGGTGAAATGGTATCACCTGCCGAACCCCTCTCTTGATATGGATGATTACTTCTTTGTAGAATGGTGAGATCTTGGTAGTGAATCCGCAATAGAGCTCACGAAGGATCCTGATGTATTGAGTTCGTACGCCCTGATTGGCTAGGGCTTCCATGATCGCTTCCGTCTCAACAGAATCAAAGGCCTTCTTTAAATCAATGAACGTTAGACAGAGCGGCATCTTGAACTCCCGAGATACCTCAATGAACTTGGTTATTGTGTGGATATGGTCGATGGTACTGAATCCTTTTCGGAATCCAGCTTGTTCACATGGTTGTCCTTCATCTAGTGTTCTGCTAATCCTATTCAGGATGACTCGAGTGAATAGTTTGTAGATGACAGACAATAGGCAGATTGTATATATATTATTAAATAATAATTTCATCCAAAGGCTGGACAGATAGTAGAGGGGTTAAGCTAATTGCCTTGCATGCAATCAACTCCAATTTGATCCCTGGTACCATATGATCTCTGAACATTACTGGAATTTGATCCCTGCATATTAGTATATTTATGTCACCCCGCACTTTTACCCCCGACTCATTCAGAAGTAAGCTCAGAGGATTGCCAAGTATAATCCAAAGCACCTCCAAAAAGTCATTTGAATAAATTAACCTTATTTAATTTATAAGTTCTCAAAATGTGGCCAATCATCTCCAAGTATGAACTATAAATTGTTTCTGCTACCTTTTAGAATAACTTTAAGTATCCCTGAATAGATTAAACCTGAATGGGAAATTTAAATTAAAATGGATTAAACCTGAATGGAAATTTTCCTAAATAATTATTGTAATTTAATATAAAAAACTTGCAAATATTATAGAGCCAAACAAAAATGTTGTAATATAAAAAATAGATTCAGTTTAAGTAAATTTGTTTTTTTTCAGAGCTTGAGAAAATCAAAACCAATATATATAGAATCATTCCAATTAATTTTGAAAACAAGAAACATGAAGAGATCTATTCATGAAGAGTACATAAATATTGACTAATCTATAAATATACTTTTGGTAATTAAGGTATTTCCTCATTAGTCAGCTTTTAAAGTGTGTATTCCACATTATGCTGTGGAAAGAGCACTTTTAAGGTCTGGGAAATAGCTCCCAGGGCTGGAGCATATGCTTTGCTTGTAGGGGACCTAGTTTTAAATTCCAGCATCTCAGTATTTCCTGAGTATTGCTGGAAAGAGGCCCTCCCGTTGATCGTCGATTTGCTCAAGCGGGCCCAGTAACGTCTCCGTTGGAGACTTTGTTGTTACTGTGTCTGGCATATCGAATACTCTCGGTAGCTTGCCGGGCTCTCCGAGAGGGGCGGAGGAATCGAACTCGGGTCGGCCATGTTGGCCGCTTGTAAGGCGAACGCCCTACCCGCTGTGCTATCGCTCCAGCCCCAATTGAGTGAGATATGATCAGTAGTCACCGACACTGAGTGTGCTTCCAAACGAAACAGAGACAGTTTCTCATGAGAGGGATGTGATTGTTATAGGTTGGTAAGTAATTGGTGTCTTCACTCACACACGTTCCTCCTCCTTTGCCTCCTCAGTCTCTTTCATAAAGCACCTCCCCCACCCCGCCCGACACGTTAAGGCAAAACTGTGATGTAAAAAGCAAGGGTTGTTCCCGTATATTATTCAACCCTATTGTCAACAACATTTTAATGCTAACCTGTGGACAACATATTGCATATTAGTATATTTATGTCACCCCGCACTTTTACCCCCGACTCATTTTGTGATATAATTGATTATATATGAGTTCATGATATTTTTAATGTTACTTCACTGACCTTAATATGTAAACATAAAAATTAAATACTTATTCTGAGGCATATTTACATGTCAAAATATGGAAGTATAGGATAAACATTTGCTGACGAATCAGAGTTGTCTTTTATTACAAGATTTACACAGGTGCTATTCCTTTTCATGTTAAAAATTCAATAAAATATTAAAATTAATCATCAAAAGTACCTGTATATTTATCATAGGCTCTGTTCTGTGAAGGATTCCTAAATCCAAATTTGCACAAATTTATCTCGAGTTTCTCTATATTCGTTATATTTTATTTATCTAATGTATAATACTTTTTCTAAAAGTATTTT